CTCATCTTCCAGCTCCCCCGCTACTCCGCGCACTACAGTTGTACTGCAAAGTCGCCACTTCGCAGCTACTACCCACTCACCAGTTCTCATCTTCCCACTCCCCAGCTACTCTGCGTACTAAAGTTGCACTGCCAAGTCGCCAGTTCTCATCTTCCCACTCTCCAGCTGCTCTGCGTACTAAAGTTGTACTACCAAGTCGCCAGTTCTCATCTTCCAGCTCCCCAGCTACTCCTCGTACTCAAGTTGTACTACAAAGTCGCGAGTTCTCAGCCACTACCCACTCATCAGTTCTCATCTTCCAGCTCCCCAGATACTCCGCGTACTAAAGTTGTACTACAAAGTCGCCAGTTCTCATCTTCCAGCTCTCCAGATACTCCGCGTACTAAAGTTGTACTACAAAGTCGCCAGTTCTCAGCTTCCAGCTCCACAGATTGCTCCGCGTACTAAAGTTGTACTACAAAGTCGCCAGTTCTCATCTTCCAGCTCCCCATATACTCCGTGTACTAAAGTTGTACTACAACTTCGCCAGTGCTCATCTTCCAGCTCGCCAGTTCTCATCTTCCCGCTCCCCAGAGACTCCGCGTACTATACTGTCGTACTACCACGTCGCCAGTTCTCAGCTTCCAGCTCCCCAGCTACTCTGCGTACTAAAGTTGCATACCAAATCGCACTCTCGCCTGCATTTCGCGCACTCGACACGCACGATCTCCGCAGAGGGTTGCACTTTCGGTTGACGCTGTTCGTCCCACCCTCCGCCTTTAAGAGAGAATTTATAAAGTGGGGAATGTTTTTCATTATAGGACATCTCCCGTGCTAGTTTTCCATGCTCATCATCGCACTTGCATCATTACACTTGCATACTTTGACACTTGCATACTTAGCACTTGGATGCTTGCGCTCTTCCACGTGCACTGGGGTACGTATAGCGTTCATGTTGTAGTGCAAGTGTGGTGGAAGTGTCAGTGTGTAAGTGTAAGTGTCGAAGTGTCAGTGTTCAAAGGATTTTCCGGAAGAACCCTTCGCAATGCTTTCGGGAAAAGAATATTGAGGAGGGAATCCTGGATGGCCACAGAGCAGGCCATAGGCCAAGGCCTATCCCGTGTTGAATTGTTTGGGCAATCAACCCTGGCAGCATCAAGAGAATTCGACTTTCTCGTGTACCACAAACACCAGAGCCTGTTGGATCCCTCTTTCGGAGCCTGTGAAGACAACACTCTCGGCAAGATCAAAGTGGCTGTTGGGAAGTTTTCAAATCTTGCCCTCTTCCACTTACACGAGGTGCTCCATACATTGAAAGGAAACACTTCCACCCATGGCTACCCAGCGCGCTGCTTCGATGGAGCCATTGTGACAGGATTGGAGCTGACTCAGAGTGAGATCGTGAAGAAGGCCTTGAAATCGACAGGATCAGCAGGACTTGAGTTTGCTGAGCTGGATTACTATGACCTTGATTCTGCAACCCGCTCTCTCATTGACAAGCATCTCTTCCTGGGGTCGATCAACAGAGCCTTTGAGAAATCTGAAAAGCAAGCAGACTCCAATGAAGCTGCTGAGAAGGCTCAGATCAAGAAGGCCTGGGAGGAATTTTGCAAGAAGCACATCACAAAGGATGACATCTCTGGCTTGGGAGAAAGCGAAGTTCTGGACAACATCAAGGCTGGAGTCACTGGCACAGCCACCCTGACAAGGGAGGCTATGGACATGGCCATTGGGACAGTCCAGAATGTTGTTGCCAACTATGATGACAGTGCTTCCTTGGTTCTCGAGCTCTCAGGAGTCACCTTGACTCTCAACGAAGGCAATGTACGTCCTGAACCTCTGGAGGTCACCAAGACAGTCACCAAGGGAGTGTCTGATTCCATTGCCAAGTTGTGCCACAGTTTGCTGCGTGATCGGTTGTGTGCCACGTATGAGAAAGTGGCGAGCAAAGCCTGTTTCGGTGGAAGAAAGGGATGTGGCACTGACATGGGGCATCATATGCTACAGTCATTGTTGAGCTTAGCTGAGCACTCTGTAGTCTCTTCTGCCTTCGTCTTTTTAGACTTGCACGCCGCCTTTTACAGCGTCATTCGTCAAGGGCTGTTCGGTCAGCAAATGCACGATGAATTTTTGTGCATGTTCTTGGCTAGACAAGGGGTGTCACCTGAGGAGCTGGAGGAGTGGTAAAAGCAGGCACAACTGGACTTTGCCTTTAAGGACCAGAGCCCTCTGGTTCAAGGTTGGACTCAGGATGCATTTAAAAATGATCACTTCTCCATGCGAGGAGTTTCGTCGGTTGCCCTGACGAGTCGGGGAACTAGGCCAGGCGACCCGATTGGAGATATATGCTTCAATATCATCATGCAAAAGGTCTTGGCTGAAGTCCGTTGTCGAGTCAAAGACTGGGGATGTCTCGACTTGTTAGAGCGACCGGTGCACCAGATGTTTGATGGAGGGCAGCCAGGATTTTTGGATGTGTCCTTTTTCGACGATGTGGCATTTGGTTTGGTGCACGCCTCACATGACAAGTTGATTGCCGCTGCCACTATGGTGCTGTCTGCACTATGCGATTCGGCACGTACTAGAGGACTTCAAGTCAATTTCCAGGCCGAAAAGACTGAGATAATGCTTGGGCTCAAAGGCAAGGGGGTTCGCAAGAAGCGTCAAGAATTGTGGATGCAGGCTGATGGCACCTTGCCGATTTTGCTTGAACATCGGGTGGAACACGTTAGGTTGGTACGCTCGTACAAGCATTTAGGCTCGCATCTGCAGTGTGACGCTAAGCCTTGTAAGGATACCCAATTTCGCATAGCCTCAGCGCCCAAAGCTTGGGGGCCATTGATTCGATCCTTGTGGACCCAGAAGCAAGTTGCTCAGACCAACAAGAACCATATATTTCGTAGTCTGATTGTGCCTCGGCTGCTGTATAATGTGCATGTGTGGGCCACAGTGCGTGATTTAGACATGCACAAGCTGCAAGCGGCCTTCAAAGAGATGCTCAAACCGGCCATCAGAGGCCCTATGGGTGGTCTGGATGCACACAAGTTTTGCTGTGCTGAAGCCGCAGCTTTAGCTTCCATGCTTGATCCGCGGGTCAAAACCACAATGACCTTTGCGCCAGGGGATGAAGAAGACCAGGCCACGCTCCTGATCAGAGAAATTCGACAGGAATACCTCACCTGGCTGGAGGGTGCCTGCCCTCACCCCCAATTTTTTCCGAAACACTAAGGAGGACATGACAGGCCAGGTGTTGGGTAAAATAGTTGAAGATGACGACCTGGCAGATCGATGGGACCGCGGACTCGGAGAATCAATGAGTGATCCCAAGCAATGGCTTGCATTGCAAGAAGTGGAACAGGGACGATCGAACAAGTGATCGAAGATCCTGGGCTCAGATGGATCTATTGTCCATTGCATTTTCATTTCATTGCAAAACGCGATGCGGTCGGTCAGCAGTTTCGCCAAAGCGGAAGGGGTGGCCCTGCGAGACCTTTTTCACCTAGTCTTGGAATGTGAGAAAAATGACTGGGGCACCCCGGTGGTGTGGGGCGTGGCTGTCCAGGGGGTGTTGGCGCGGAAAAAGTTGACCTTAGCTTGCAAAACCGTCGCCGCCTTCCTGGAGGAAGGCCCTGGCCAAGAAGTCTTCCTACTTCACAGCCACTTTGTCCCAGCATGGGCGCCCATGGTAAATGGCATCAAGCTCCCACAGGTCACAGGGTTAATGGCATTACCATCGCCATTGTCATTAGCGTCACCATTGCCACAGATCACAGGCGCATGGCATCAAACTCGCACAGGTCACAGCATGACCATCACACTTGTCATAAGCATTGCCAGTGCCATCGGCATCATCATCACAATTTGCAGTACCATTGCCACAGGTCAAGGGTTGATGGCATCAAGTTCCCACAGGTCAAGGGTGAATGGTTGTAAGTTGTAACACAGGAAAGCTCTATATAAACTTAACTTCTGTGGCAAGCATCCAGGACCAACTACAATACCACCTATTGCGACTAAACAGGCCTAAACAACGAAGCACGGGAAAACACCCACGCATAGCGTCCCGCTCTTTTTTCTTCTCGGGCTGGAGTCTACTTTTCAGGCAGCACGATTCACAGGTCGGAGTGGTTTTGAGTGAGTGGATGTGTTTCGCGGGGCACCTATACCCCTTCCTCCGAGTGCTCTCGGCACCCCAAGCTCTATGATTCCTGGTGCGAAACACGGCCTGGAGGCTCCGCGCACCGCCGCTCCCTCCAGGCACCCCTCCCTCCGCGCACCGCACCGTTGGGTCACAGCCAGGTGCCAAGTTCATCGCCTTGGATGCGAAACTGCGCCATGGCGACATCTGGAGTGAGACCCCAAGAGGGACTGGAAGAGTTACACCCCGTTTGGGTTCCAACGCATTACCTTCTGAAGACGTGGGACAGGAGCCCTAGGGTACCTACATGGATGGATATCACACATGTATTCGGCCGATACATATACCAGTCCCCCTTCGTTTGCTCTGGGTTTCTTGGATTGGCGCCCCTTTCACCGGCACACGATGCGGGGAGGCAAAACGTAAGCCGGAGCAAAATGGAACCCCTGCAGTTTTAAGAGGGATCGATTCTGTGAAATGCAGAAGGGGCCGAATTCTGTGCAATGTGCCTGATATTCCCAGTAATTCACCACATTGACGTGTTTTTTTGCTTTTAGTGTGGTATCCGCTCCTCCTTCCCTCCTCCTCCTCGCTCCAACTGCCACCCACAAACTGCCACCTACCAATTGCCACCCACCGATTCCTACCAACTGATTGTCACCAGCCAATTGTCACCAACCAATTGTCACCAACCAATTGTCCACCCACCAATTGCTACTAACCAATTATCACCAACCAATTAAAAACCAACCAATTGCCACCAACCAACTGCCACCAACCAATTGCCACCAACAAACTTCCATGAACCAATTATTGTCACCAACCAATTGTCCACCCACCAACCAATTGCCACCAACCACTTGTCACCAACCAATCCAATTGTCACCAACCAGTTGTCCACGCACCAATTGCTACCAACCAATTTTTTCACCAACCAATTGACACCAATTGTGATGAACCAATTAACCAATTGTCACCAACCAATCGCCACCAACCAATTGCCACGGGTCGGATGTACGCCCTGGCGTCGGCGCGGGGCTTGTGGGTCTCCGCCGCTGTGCCGGTGAGATTTGCGTGGCAGGCGCAGCACTTTGGTGGTGTCCAGAGGGTCCTACGTACGCCTTGGCGTCACCCTGCAGGCTCCTGGGACTCCGCCGCTGTGCCGGTGTGATTTGCGTGGCAGGCGCAGCACTTTGGTGGTGTCCAGAGGGTCCTACGTACGCCTTGGCGTCGCCCTGCAGGCTGCTGGGACTCCGCCGCTGTGCCGGCGTGATTTGCGTGGCAGGCGCAGCTCTTTAGTGCTCTCCAAGGGGTAGGACGCACGCCCTGGCACCACCACTACCAACAACAACCACCAACCACCAACCAACCACCACCAACCAACCACAAACAACGAACCGACCACCACCAACCACCAACCAACCACCACCAACCACCAACCACCAATTGTTTGCTCCTGTGTCTTGTGAAGTTGTTAACATGTGGGGTTTTCCGCTCCTATAATTGTTTTAGGATGTTTAGGATCGCTTGGCCTTGAGATGAACGGGGTATTGATGTTGTTTTTGAATGTTTTTGATGTCATCGGCATTTTTTGATAGTTAGACTTAGGCACCCTAACCAGATGGTTTCCACAACATTGCTGGCCTATTGATGTGTTTGATCCCCTATGAAGGGTGGGCCCCTTAAATGCCCTCAGTGCTAGTGAGTTATTGAGGAACGGGGGCATTGGGAGCATCCATCCTTTAATGGTGATTATTGGTGGAGCATTGGTTGGCGCAAGTACCCTGGGGGCTCCAACTACCTCCTGAGGTTGTAGGGCCTAACTATACCCTTTGAGGATGTAGTTGGAACCATTTGGAACTACATAGCAAGTGGCACTGAAATAGTTTCAGTTTTCCAACCTTTTGCAAAGGCTATCAGCGAAACCCCAGCAGACACCGTTGGAATCCTTTGGGCTACCCTTTTGTCTTAGTTCTGAGCAGCAAGTAGCTGGCCAGGACGACTGACCATGGGAGAACAGGTGTCGTTCTGGTCGTTTTGGGGGATAGGGTGATTTTAGTGTCCCTATATCCGGTGAGTGTTTATCATTATGGGAATATGTAATAATGATGTTTTTGCGGGCCCTTAGGCAAATCGGAGTCATTCCAAGTTTTTCATGCAATCTACAAACATCCATCCAGACGTCCAATTTTTTGTTGGACAAGCTACACCTGGCAACTTTCCCCACACCCCCGGGTGCCAATCCCAAAAACATGGGTTCTGGGCTGGACCACTACAAATTGCAACACATCCAACATTACTCAACCTTCCACAAAATTCTGTCATTTTCTCCTTCACCCTTAGGCCCTTAGGGTTTTGGGGTTGCACAACAGCAGCAGGGCGCTAGGATGCACCATAGGCCATAACAAATAAGGGCTGCCATTTGCTCGACCATTCAACAGGTTTTTTGCCTCGAACGCACCAATGTTCAAAACCTTTAAGACAGCACTGTCTCACCAAAGACTATTTGTCAGAAGATGTGTGAGGGCGTTTGCCAATTGAGGGTCACTGTGCACCCACTTGTCAAAATGTCCCCGATCTCCCAAAGTTGAAAAACGGGAAACCATATGCAAAATAGAATGCTTCCTTCAAGACAAACCACATGGTGGTATTGTTATTTTTTCTGGATGATGTCGAAAAATGTCAACTACACCTTTTGGTGACGCTATGATTGAGCTGGTATTCTTTGAGGGTACACCATTCGGCCCACTGGAACCTGATAAACAAAAAAGTTTTTTTGGTGCAATGATGATTGCAAAAGCCTCTTCACTAACATTTTAGCAATAGCCTCCTCACTTGCATGATTCTTTTCGATGATACACCCACACAAAGACAATGTCATTGTTGCGGGGCATGCCTGATCGGCCCCTCGGGCCACCCGCAATAGAAGAAGGCCAATCAGTATAAGTCTTCCATAACACTGCGCAGCTCCCATGACACCACCGGCACGACGATGTGGGCGAACGCCGACCGCGAAGCAAGCCACCGTATCGCAGCCGAGGACCCGGCGGGTGGTGTGTTGGCGCTTCGTGGCGCCGAAACACCTGGAGGAGCGGGTCAAGCACGTCGCGGAACCGGGATCGGGAGCACCTGGGCCGTGCTCAGGGAGACCGGGTGCATCCAACCTGTTGGGCAGGGTGATTTGGCATCATAGGACTTGGAGCCCGGACCTGAAAGCACCAGAAGGAAAAGGGTACGTGTTGGAGTCATAAGCCAGTTTTTTGGGGTTCGGATCATTGTGCCATTTTCATCAGGTAATTATTACTTTGGTGGTCCAGCTAGCTAGCTGCCATCGATGCACGACTCATTGTGCAATTTTTACTTTAGACTTGGACTTACCTCGACCCACAGCTTTTTCGTGATCTCTATTTTGCACCACCAGCCACTGCAAATATATATATATATTCAAATTTCCTCTCAAAACGGAGGTCATGTTTGGGCTCTACCAGTATATACGCTGACATTCCCACCATGCAGGTCAACTAGCAACCAGTGATCAGTATATTTGCCAGTCCCCATGTATCATGCAACATGCCGTTTGGGACATGGACTCCCCCCCAGCCTCCACGTGAACGTCGCAGCAAGTTGACCTCCAGAGCAGCCCGGTGAAGCTGCGTCCAGTCGCGCAGGGTCGCGCAGGGTCGACTTGGAGCAGCCCGGGATGGGAGGGAGGTGGGTTCGAAATACTTCCTGTAGACCTCCCAGACGCTCCATGGGACTGGATACTGTACATTGAGGTCATAAATGCATGCATGGGGTCAATGTATGTCATGTACACTCCTCAGGTGAAATGACCAAGCCTCAAAATGCATGCGGCTAAGTCATTTCAATGCACTTGGCCTAAGTCATTTGACCTCAGCTATAACTGTCCCTAGAGGGCTCCAGTCGTACCTCAGAAGGTATGATTGGACCCCACCCCAGTTCCAACCAACAGAGGTTAAGTGACCTTATAGGACCCTACCAGGGTACTGAACTGGGATCAACCTTTGTTGGCTATCCCAGACACGACCTGTCTGGGACTGCCAGTCCGGACTGCCGATCAGTTAGGGGTAGTTGACTGGGGGTCTGTCTGGGGCGGCAGTCCTATGGCAGTCCCAGACAGGTCATGTCTGGGAATTGGGGGTGGTTGACTGGGGGTCAATGGGGCGGCATCTATGGCAGTCCCATTAGTCGTCGTGTCGAAGACCCAGGTCTCGTGGATCTGTCCGTTTCGCGATTGGCGATCGATGTCCTCCAGGTCTCGGAACTGGCTTCGACTGTCCCAGACACGAAGCCATGGGTTCCATGCTCGGAGAAGCGGGAGGGTACACTTCCAACAGTCCAACATGCGTTGTTTGTTCAATGAATGGGCTTATAGGGAACATCTACCAGAAACCATGGTGTTCACCCATGTTCACCCCCAAAACGATGGGTGTCCTGCAGATGTTCCCTTAATCATCTCTTGAATCCGTGGTTTGGTGGTTTTTGGGTCCCTGCCAGGCTGGGCCCCGGGCGCTGTTGCAAGACGCCGTGGCCAAGGATGTGGGGACACCCAGGAAGCCACGATTCCCAAGACCAGGAGGAAGACCACCAGTGGAGCTGGAGAACCCGACTGTTCGGCTCATCCCAGGAACCGGTACCCCAGGTCTTCCGGGTCCTAGGAAACCGGTCACTGGATACCTCTGTTGGGACTTGCGCACGAAGAGTTGTTGGATCTTGCTGGATGACATTCCAAAGCAGCAGGAATGGACCAAGACTCCAAGACTTGAAGACTTGTTTTTTGGAATTGGAAGGGAGGACACTGAGGACTTAAGACTTGCTTGAAGATATGTTTTTCTTTGAATTTGTATGTTGTATGATTCTCTCCAACAATCACGGTCGCCTTGACATCCTGGTGTCTGGGAAGACCATGAAATCCTCTACAAACAGGCGGTTATCCACTTCCATGTTTGTTGCAGGGACCTGATGGTATGTGTCCCAGACTCCCCATGGGACTGCCATATATGCCGATCAGTTGGGGTGGTTGACTGGGGGTCAATGTCGGCATATATGGTGGGTGTTCATGTCTTCACTCCCCTCGCTCCGACTGTTCTCTCCGAGTGCCAGATTCCATCCTGGACCCCGCCCCATCCTGGGCCGAAGAACACGTGGGCCGATGTGGTCGTCCAATTCGCTGCATCAGAGCCGACTCCTTGAGCCATCAGCCGTTTCACCCGCTTCAGGTGCAACAACTACAACTCTTGAGACACCCATGCCTTTGCCCGTGCGACAACTACGTCCGCGGTGGTTGTTTGGCGTGGCCTGTTCTCACGGCGCAAGAACACTTTGACTACCTTTGACTCATAGCTCAACTGAATGAGCATTATTTTGTAGGGATCCAAGTACCTTCTCAGAAGGTACTTGGACCCTCCAAACCTACATAACAGTGTCTCCAATCATCTTCTGAGAAGGTACTTGGATCCCTAGGGATTTTCAGTGGCCTTCAGTCATGCATTAGCGCTGTTTAGGTGATTACGTAGCCCTTGACTTGCAGAACAGCATGGCGATGGGTCAGCAACAACGGGTATTGTTTGAAAGAACTCAAAACCACACAAAGCGACACGGTTGGAGGTCTTCGCTAGTAACGTACATTAGAGGCCATCGCACCAGGTTGGAGGCCAGCTCTACCAGTTGACGTTCCATCCAGTAGGTAAAGGCAGGTACAGGTGGATGATCAGATATGATCAGTCCACCCTTCCCTCGTCATACCCGTAGCTTCATTGCGTACGGTAATTAGGTATGACGAGCCGTACGCCCCTGCGATTAAAAGTTCCAGGATTGTCCTCCTAGACACGGAGTGGGACACACACACACACACACAAGGCCGCATAGCGGCGCGCTCTCGCTGCAGACTTTTTCAGTGGTTCTAGTGGAAAGCTGGCGGTCACTTGACGTAGTGGACAGCTTAACAAAAATAATCAAACAGATCCATTCTACCAGGACCTTCCAAGTCCGACGGTTTTTGGACACTCCGAATCAACTCAGCTCGAGGTTATAGACACCTCTTGGAGGAGGAACATTCGATTCACCCAAAAGCAAAGGAGCCATTTGATGTTAAGTGACCGGTTTCATAGGACCGTCACCTGGGGTACCGGTTCCTGGGATAGCCGAAGAGTCGGGCCCTTCAACCTCTGTTGGAAGGAGCTACGTCGCTCGTGGACTTCGTGGCGGGGGGGCGACGTCGCTCCGTCGGTGCGACCGATTCTTCGTGTGCACGGAGTCGCCGACCGGGCGACCTCTCCAATGGAACAGGCTCCTCCATATATAGAGGTATTATATGGTATTATAATGTATTATAATGTATTATAAGTATATAGTCATTTGGAGTCTAAAGTGCAAATCTTTCCCACCATGCTGATCACTGGTATACCAGCACATAGACCACTGGGTTGGAGGGATAGTAGGGTTCTCGGACGAATGGGTCAGGTACTTCGGTGCTGAGATGGTGGGCAAGGAGCTGTGCGTGGTCACGGGCTACGTCCGGGAGCTCGTTTGGGACGCTGCCCGGGGGGGGTTGGATGTCAAGAAGACCACTGGAGTGAATCCACATCATGATACAAACCCTCGACATGTGTATAGATGTTTGTAGATTGTGTATGAATCAAACCCTCCAGTATCCAAAATGAATCTAAACATCTCCAGTGATCTCCAGGCTTTGGGCGGAGAGTTTTCATTCAGTACAGTCTACAGCACTGATTCAGACATATGGAGTGACCCTTAACCCGATTTGGGCATTTGGGGGGATCTACTACATGTCCGCCGCATCTTGGAGAAGTTGAAAGAGACTGTGCTGGATCGTCCGTGCTTTGACAATCCAAGGGAGTAAAACACTTGCCGATCAAGTGGGGATAACAAATAAGATGTTTTGAGAGTCAATATAGTAAGTAAATATTCCATACACAGACCATCCAGGAATCCATATTATATGGATGCTCTACATCGACCCCTGTTCAACCACCCCAATGTAGGTCAATAGGCCAGTCCTTTGGTTTGTTTCGGATACATGGATGGTTTGGGGGTGCTGTAGCTACATGTAGAAATATAATGAAGTATACTATCAAATATTACAGTAAATCCCAGTTACCACCATGTAATGTAAGGGATTCTAGGTCTATGGTCTTAGTCTTTGGAACCACTGGTTGCCAGCTATAGTGGTTTGCCTGGATGCCCTGGGATATATAATTATGTTTTGGGATGTTTTGGGTCTCCAACCACCTGTACTTCATTTTTGGATGTGGGGCAGCCCATCTATGTGGTTTTGTGCTTGACTCGATGTTTGAATCTCGATGACTTTCCCAGGGAAACGAACGGCTCAATCCAGTGGCATGCAGGGGAAGATGTTTACGCAAATTGAGTCACCAACATGGAAGTGGGTCATCCACCACCTGTTTCTTCTTCGGAGCTCATCCGAACACAAAAAACTCGACGGGCCTCCATGCCATTGCCATCTACTTGCTCCATCTGTAAGCCAAACATGATCGATTTTGCCGGCTCCCCCCCAAAACCAGAAACGCGTCCCCAGTTGCTGCTGCCGTTGACCGCCGCGCCGAATCATCTCTCCGGCTCTCCGAGGCCTCCGGCGGCTCGGTGGCCGATTGGCTCGCCGACGCGGGGCCGGTGCCCGAGGCCGGTCCCAGGAGTGAACGATTGTTGCGAGGGGGTCACAGGTTGTGATGATTGTGGTTGTTTACCCTATAGGGTTCTAGGTGTGGTGGTTGGCCTTCCTCGAAAATGAAACGAGTTCGGTGGGGGAGCCCAAACGCTCGGGTTAATCGGCTAGCTCAGGGCATTGAGACGTGCTCTTCTCCTCGTCACGGACCAGACAGCGGTGCTAAGCCTGGCGCCAGTCTCGTCGGACGGAGGTGGAGGTGACTCCTGGGGTCGTCCCAGTGACCGAACTGGATAGTCCGACGCTCCTGGCGTTTTTGGGAAGGTCCTGTTCATGGTACACGGATGTGCACAGGAACACACAGGAATTATATGAACAAACGTTTTTTTTTCAAGATTGGTTCCGTGGGTTCTACTTCATAAGTAGTGTGTTACTGGTACTTACATATAGTATATCGTATGGTAACATTTAGTTGATAGTTGTTTGCTTATATATTGTTAGTTTAAAAACAACAAGGTTAATTACAGTTGCACATAGTTGCACTCATTTTGGCAGAGTTGAACCGTTTCACCTAAGTGAGCTTTATGATAGACCGCCGGAGTACTCAATCATATGAAGGCCCATCATGGTCCTTTCCTATCGAAACAGGGGTGACCGCAGGTTCTTCCTGTATCTGGAACTTGGATCTGCTGCAAGATTCAATTCCCACTAGTTCCAACAGTCGTTCCGAACCAGGTTGCAGTGAGTGATGACCTAGTGTGGTGGTGCATAAAGGAACTTGTAGAGACGTGGCTCAGAACTACCCTTGAGATTCCTCCTTGGGATGCATGCTCCATGGTCCCCAAGTAGGGCAGAGGCAAGCAAGAACCTGTTTGGCAGGCACAATCCCCAGGACATTCCTGAACCCCCCTGAATGCATCAGTGAGGCATGAAGATGCCAGATTCCAAAACCATTGCTGGAAAACAATCCCAGACACTCCATGGGACTGCCATATATGCTGATCAGTTGGGGTGGTTTTGGGTGTCAATGTATATATGGCAGTCCCATGGAGTGTTTGGGAATAGTACTTAGTAATTCGCATGTGCTCCTGATGTGTGGCTGTGCCAGGCTCCCTGCTTGCGAGTGGTTCAGCTGGGGCCCTTGTCCATGTACGGTTTGGGCTTCGGATTTTGCAGCTAGGGCAAAAAATGGCTTGCCCGGTTTGATTGGTGTTGTGCATGTTTTGATCGGTGCGGATGGCGAAGTTGGGAACCTTTGCCGCAGTTGTTTCGATGCCTTTGAGATAACGGTCGGAGGGCCGGTGGGAGGGCGAATTCACCGCAAGGACCCGAAGAGCAACGCCCCAGCGGTGCCAAAAGGGTGCTTATAAAGGAGGTTTAACGGTTAAGGGTGCTCATTACCCACTCACTTAGGGACTACACATCCCTTGGTGACCCCTGGTTTGTTAATCGCATTAATCAGATCTTGGACAGATTGGAGCTCCAGAATATCTTCCAATCAGGATGTTCTGGGATTCTTTTGACATCTTTTGAACTTTTTGACACAGTTTTGATGGTGATGGTATGTGATGATAACGCTTTTGTTGTTGTTGTTGTTGTTGTTGTTGTTGTTGGTTCAAGGCTCAAAACATCGAAAATGGGGTCAGGAGCCTACGGCAAGGGTAAGCAGCAATGGGACAATTACTACCGGCAGAAGGGGAAGGTCAAAGGAAAATTTGACAAAGGAAAGTCGAAAGGAGGTAAAGGTGGTGGAAAAGAAGAAGATCCGCCACAGAATCAAGAGATTGACAAAGAGAAGGACGAGGAAGACCCTCCCAAGAATGCCGATAAGCCAAAGAAGGATGCTTCTAAGAAGAAGAAGCCGAAACGCACCAGGTTTGGGGCTCCCAAAGACTCCACTTATGAACCGCCAATTGCGGATGTGGACGTCTCCCTAGTCACTGAACCTGGGAGATTGGGTATCTATTTGAACCCACTCGTCATCATGGAGGGCCTCATCTATGGTCTCGATTCAGCTCGTGACTGCCAACGTTCGGACAAGATTCCCTTCTATCCTTTGTTGTTGGGAATCAATGACATGACTACTCAGCAAGTCATGCAGTCTTTGAGCATGTGTGACCGCCAATACACGAAAATGGTGGGCTCCAATATCCAGATCGACAACCCACAGGACTTGATTGCCGCTGTGAGGACTGGAATGGAGAGTGCTCTTTTGACGAACGTGACAGCACCGGTGCTTTCGAGATCTGTTGGTGCTTTGTCAATGGAGAATGGTGAAAATCTGGAGTCGGTTGGGATTCCATTTCATCCACTGATTGCAGATGCAGCTCCAGGTGCAGGAGAAGTCTCCACTGACCCTGCACAAGCTCAGCTTCGTTATGACGTGACTGGAGGAGAGATTCCCATAGCCTATTTGGCTTATGGCATCCCCAACATCGTCTTAGCCACGTTCATGAAAGCTGTGTTGGAGTCTGGACTTCCTAACCGATGCCAAACTTTCAACGACGTCATCAACGTCGTGACTCTGACTCACTTCCCATTCATGATGAGGTTCAACCCCAACATCGTGAACTTGTTTCACCTTTTCGAACCTTTTCGGCCAGCCTTTGAGCGGGCTACTACACCTTCTCAGGACGCGTATTTAGCGTCTGTTCGTGACGAGCTTGCTCAGGGCGATTTCTGGACGAATCTCTACGATTCGCGAGTTGGCCAAAATATGGGTTTGATCTATGCCAACCTCTGGAATGGATTAGTGAAGAGAGGAGTCGAGAAGAAGGATCTCATGGAGTGCGCCTGATCTCCATTCAGAAGCTAGCGCTTTCAATGGATGCACTTCATATTCTGGAGAAGAGCTTTGATGATCAATTGCTTCGACTTCGGAATCCTGCTCCACCTCAACAAGAGCTCCAATCTATTTACGAACTTGAGGTTTCACTTTGTGGTGTTGGATCCTTGTTTTCGATGAATGCAAGGTTCGGTTTTGATTTGCCATACACCACTCAGATTGCTCAGGATGCAGTTTTCTTTCTGCAGAGCTTGATCTGGAACCAGTACAATGGAGTTTTGAGCAGTGGTGCAGTTCAGCTTAAAGCTGATTTGATTCGTGCGATCTCAAGGGCCATTGTAGAGAAGGAGAATCCGAAAGCTTATGGCCAAGACGCCCCAAAGTGAATTTGTGAACTCTTCGTCCCGGCTGCTTTTTTTATCATTAACAGGCTCACCCCTAAGACCAGACCCGATAAGATCCAACTCCGTTCTCAAGAGGGGCATCTTTTGAGTCCCACTGAATCCTTTCACACGCTCGAGCACTGACTCGGATTAAGGGCATGAAATCCATGGCTCCGCATAAGAGTCCAGGCTTTTCCCTCAAATGCACTGCCACTTGCATGGCCACCCAACTCATGCCTCTATTGCAGGATTGGTGGGGACGGTTCCCGCCACTTATCCCACAGGAATGGAAAGACGGCTGGCTCTTTTTGTTGCCCAAGCCATCGAAACCGCCTGACCGGCCAAGCAACTTACGACCGCTTGCCTTGCAAGAGGGTGTAGGGAAAGCCGTGTTAAGTTTGATTTGCACACAGGCCAGGCGGGAAGCGCAGGATGTTCTCGTCCGATATCCACAGTTCGCATACATGCCGGGGCGAGGCTGTGAGGACGCCATTGCACGGGCTCTCATGCATTGTACGCAGGTCATGAACATGCATAAACACCATGGTGCCTCCCTCACCCCACCCAAAGTTTTTGGAGGACTGACATTGAGTATCGACCTCAAACAGGCCTTTGATACGGTGCCTCGGACCACCTTGTTTGCCGACCTTGAGGAGTTGGGCATCAGCCACAGCATTTGCACCCTTCTCCGGGCATGGCATGTGAATACACAATACCATATAACCCATAAATTCCAAACTGCTGCAATCCCTGTTCTCCGTGGAATTAGGCAAGGATGTGTTGCTGCACCCTTTTTATGGGTTTGTTACACGGTCAAGCTACTGTGTGAACTTAGCCGTATAACTGGAGAAGATTGGATCTTGGCTGCCATCACCCTTTTTGCGGATGACATCTTAGCACAGGGCACCTTCGAGACCGCTGCAGAGTGTCACAAACATCTTGAGAGGTTTGGTGCCCTGTTAGATGTCCTGGAAGCTGGAGGCATGCACATCAATTTGCAAAAGACAGAGGCCATGATCACCATACACGGCCGCAATCAGACCCTTTTGCAGCGCCAGTGTGTTCAAAGGACTGCCAATGGATTTTTTCTGAAGATCCCACGACAACACACGACCTCCCTTGTTCGTTTGACCTCAAGTTGTGGGTACTTGGGAATTCAACTGTCATATGGCAATCCTCAGCTGGAGACATTGCAGCGACGCATGCGCTCCAGTCAACTGGCCTTCAAACGACTCTCGCTCTGGCTGCGAAGGAAAAGAGGACTCACGACTCAGTATAAATTGGCAATCTGGCAAGCAATGGTACGCTCTTCGATGGTCTATGGTCTTTTGATTGTCGGCTTACATCGATCAGGGCTCCACAAGGTGATCAAGACCATGACATTGATGCAAAGAATGATTGTTTCTGATCACTCGTATCGCACTGGTCACAGTCATAGCCACTTTTTTCAACAGAATCACATCGAACCGCCGAATGCCTTTTTGCGACGCCTGTGCCTGAACCTACAGCGACGTCAAGAGCTGAGAACTGTTGAATGCAATGAACGGGACATTCGACAAATTCTGGACCTATTGGAACAGCTGCACGAGCCTGACAGGTGGAGCCCAGCCAATTTTCCCTGCCCAAGTTGTGACCTTGTATTTAACACTGCAGCTCAATTGACAAAGCACATGCACAACATCCATGACACCGTGCCACGAACTCAGCACATCTTCAGGTACGACCTGGACGCTGCCACAGGCCCTCCACGGTGTGGGCACTGTGACATCCAATTTCAGTCATGGGCCAAGCTCAAACAACATGTTGCTTTTGGTTTTTGCACCACGTACTCCACAGGATTTCGAGGAGATCGAACACACAGTGAACTGCAAGAACGCTTTCGAGCAATTCCCTCAGATCTTTTGTTGCATGAGGTTCAACAAAATCCCTCATGGCTTCATTGGCTTAAGAGTCATTGCATCCATTGTGGTAGGCTTAATAAGAATGCCAGAACAGGAAGACAACATGCTGCTAGTGAACATGCTGGTGTTTCTCTCTCCAAAACATATCAGTTTTATCAATCCTGGCTTTCGCACGTTCGTCTCTCACCATGTCCCTTTTGCCAAGCTTGTTATGTAAATAGCCATCAATGCAACACGTTGTTTCAACTTGCTTCTTGGCTCTCCGCTCAGGCTATGACCAGCACTACAGGCTCCGCCACCATTTGTTTGCATTGTGCTCAAACGTTTTCGACCGACACCCAGCTGAATGAGCACTTGCGAACTGCACATCCGCGGTACTGTTGCATTCGGGACTCAGTTCGAGTCAATCCACAGTGCCGACCCTGTGGGTCCGAATTCAAAGAGATCTGGGAATTGCAGAGGCACATCAACAGAGGGTCTTGCAATTGCATAGACTATTTGGCGGACCAACAAGGTGTGCTCCGTCAAGAAGAAGCAATGCTGGATTCACTGTTGTGGGGAACATGGAAACGTTTTCTCGAGGGTTCCAACAACAAGATGTTGCTCACCATCACGTGCACGATGTGCGGCCAAGGTCTGCGCCGAGCAGCGGACCTCATGAGGCACATCCTGACGCAGCACGGCCCCTTCCACAAGGCCGCTGAGATCTTCACTGCCCTGGCCCTGATCGAGGAAATCCAACCAGGTTGCAGTTGTAATCCAACCGTGAGTACTGGACAACAGCGTAGAAGTCACCGATGTTTGGCCTACAGGCAGATTGCGATGATGCATCATATTTTGAATCCAGGGCCACTTCAGGTATTGGTACCATGGGAGACTCCACAAACAGAGGTCATGAAGATCCTTGCGAACAATCCACTGCTGATGGCGCAGGCCCCAACTCTTGGCTCCATGATCGCCATGCGCACCTTTGCTCAGATCTGGACAGACTTGACAACCTGCAAGGCCCTCAGTCAGTGTTGCTCTATGTGCAATAGAACCTTCCACACGCCTGACATGTTGCTGGATCATCAATACCACCTCCATGGAGAATTGATTGGAAAAATCCCTCATCTCCTACAGTACGTGACCACTCAAGTCATGGCACTTGGACGTGCCCTTCCATGCACACTTTGTGGCACGGACACCATCACCTACCGGTTAGAAGACAGCACGGCGTGGGCTCAAGTTCGCCACAAGTGCCCAACCATCCTGAATCTCTGCCTCATTTTGGCACAGCTTGGTCCCTATGGAGGCTTCACGAGAGGTGGTGCCCCTGTCCGCCGCAGACAGGACGACCCAGCTCCAGGCAGCATTCTTAAATATGCTCGTGCCACAAGATCCAGCAGAGGATACCAGGAGAACGAAACGGCAGAAGCACAAAGGTGGCATGAAGATGGAAACCGTGTCCCAAGACCATCCTCGAGAACAGAACGTGAACCGTCTCTGCCACTTGATGGCCCGCATCATCATCCGGCACGAGGACTCCCTCCAATCGATCCACACGCAGGACAGCTTCATGTTGTACTTCAACAAAGGGGCTCAGGGGATAGTCCCGGCCCTTCTCCAAGCAGGGATGGATTGGAAGGAGGAGAGTGCTCCGACGAAGCCACTTCGAGCTTGTCTGATGCAAACAGTCATGGAGCAAATGATGATGAGATATACAAGTTTCTGCAACAAGCTATCGGACGAGAGCTTCCTCAAAGCGAGCCAGGACTCCTTCCTTGTGTTGCCGAACGGGATGCTTCCCTACTTGATGTGGGACCGGGATCAGGAGAAGCTTGTGCCGTCAAACACGTTGACCCCACTGAGTCGCACAGACTTGGAGACCAAGCTCCAGTCCCTTCAGAGTGCGATGTCCCAGTCGGAGAACATCATTCGGTTCAACTCCATGGCCAGCCAGAACTCTCGGGGCGAAACCTTTCCGTGGCGACTTCAAGTGCCATTGCGGAACGATCCACTGATGGTATTGCTACGATCCTTATGCCATCACAGCTCTTGGTTGCTGATAGCAGGACGCCTCATGCCTCAGAGCCTGCAACGCAGCCGCCTTGTACAGGACCTGCAGGAGGCCACCATGCCGAGGAATGCCCGCCGACCAGCAACCTGACCAGCAATGCATTGATGCCGGCCTTGTTGAACATGAGCTTGAGCAATGATAGTAATTGGTGCTACTTGAACTCGAGCCTCATGAGCTTTTTGTGGACGCTTCTTCATCAAAGAGGATGCGACTCTGATCGTATGGGGAAAGTCAGCTCAGTTTGCCAAGCTTTTCTGCAACAGCCAAGGGGAGAGGCCATTGCACTTGCCACTATACTATGCCTGAGCTGCATACCTTGTTGATGCACACCAGTGAAACAGGACCTCGTGACTGTGCAGAATTCACAGCCGAGCTCCTGTCATGGTGTCAGTGTGACAGTGTAGACATGCACTGGGAACGTCGAGTTTCAACTGTCAATGGGGCGATTTGCGAAGAATCCGGAGGAAAACACCATCCCTTGGCACTTGACGGACTGTATGAGCTTGACCTCATGCACCCAACAGTGACAGATCTCTGTCAAATGTGGACATACGGCCACGGCATGCGAGCTGCTTTCACGTGTTTGCCTGGCTTGAAGTGTGTTTTTATAGACAGATTGATGCAACCCACTCGATACTTAGGCCATTTCCAATGCTTGGACATTTTGTCCACCACGGAGCTGCCCTTCTTCTATGACGATGGCGTGGACCTTCAGTGGTCCGCGTTTCGAATCCAGAGCATCGTATGTCACACTGGCTCGAGCATTTCCGGCCATTTTCGAGCAGTCTTGAGATGCACGGAGGGCTGGTACATCTGTCAGGACAATGAACCACCAACTTTCCATGCGCACCTTCCCAAGTGGTGCCTCGAGCGAGCAGTGCTGATCTGGATGATCCCGATCACTGATGAGGTCATTTCAGACCACCAGACACAGGACTCATCGTCCGAATCCGACTCCGAGTCAGGTCCACCGGTGCCGGTGACACAGATCACCCATGGTAGCATGACCCCCATTCCCCCCAGCTGAGGACCCACAGGACCATCCCGTGTCTCCTGAGGGTGCACCTGCTTTAAGCCTGGTGCTCCAAAGTGTCTTGGAGAGTGTCTTGGATGACACTGATGAGCGGTGGCTGCGCTGACCTTGCAGCTGCCGTCTACCGTGCTGAGCTGATGCGGCTAGCCGCATGTGGCTGCGCTTGGCTGCGCTTAGCTGGCTCCGCGACCAGAGAGTGAGAGATTTCTTTAGTCCTCAGGATTTTTTGCACCGTACAGGTATCACTGAGGATACTTGAAAACAGGATCCTTGAAAACCTGATCCCGGATCCAATTGGAATGCCTCCAATTGTCGATGGCGCGAGACCTCAACCCTCTCAGCGTTAGAGAAAGAAAGAAAGAAAGAAAGTTGTTGTTGTTGTTTCAAAGCAAATTGAACCACAAAACCCTTAGAAACCGTAGAAACAAGAACGCAAAGAAGCTTCGACTTCCCAAATCCCATTGTTGGCGTTGTCCCAAACCATTTCGACACCTTCCCGTCACCGGAAGAACTGTGTCACCGTCGACGGACCATGCAGGGCGGGAGCCCGTCGTAGTTTCGGCGTGGGAGTCGTTTGCAGGTCCGTCTTGCAGGGCTTAGAGTTCCTCCACCGGCACATGGTCACCCACGGTGCACTGCGAGGCCGACTGCAGAGCAGGACCTCGGACCTACTCGGGTCAAGGTCAAAAAACAAGCCAGGGCATCCAGGCAAACCACTGGTAACCAGTGGTTCCAAAGCCTAAATTAAGCTATAGGCCTAGAATTCTTGGTTCCTTCTATAGGAAACATGTTTTTTTGGGGGGGCGGGCACAATGGTTGCAACAGATAGACGTCGACCATTCTGTGGAGCTCCGAGCAGTAGTATGCCAAGCTCCACACAGCGTGATTGAGGCAATATTGAGGCTGGTTAGACCCCTCTGGCACCCACCCCAACCATCTTCTCAGGAGGTGGGCCAGGAGCCCTAGGGTATATAGAGTCATCACTAAAACCGGAATTTGGAATCAGTGGTGAATCCGTCAACCATTCAATCTCCACTGATTCTGACGCTTGGCACTAGTCAACCCAGTCAACGTCGACTCATGTGTTCGAGTGATCGGTGATGATGCTGCTGTTCACGAATGTGCTGGGCTCATCCCCTGGGGATCCAAGATTATCCAGGTAAGTACCTTCTCAAAAGGGTGATTGGAGGCACTGTTACATAGGTGCCAGGAGGGTCCAAGTACCTAACCTGAGAAGGTACCACTGGAACCCTAAAAAATTGTCGGATACGACCTGAAACAACGTTTGAGTTCAGACATCGCATTGCCATTCTTGACGGTCCCGTCACGCGGAACCGCTCTCGCCGACCGGGTTTTTGCAGCGACCGGACTCGAACGAAGCCCCCAGCCTTTAAAAACAACTCTGGACTTGAGCACAGCTGTGGATCTACAAAAGCTACTACATGAGTAAGTCCAAGCTGATATTTTGTGTCCATTTGCCATGCTTTCTACGCGTGCAGGGCTTCATGGTGACTCGGATGCCTCCTGTCGGAATCTTGAACCAACATGAATCGAATCAACATGTGTTCCATTTCTTTAATCCAAGACTCTTGCACACCAAGTTGTATCAGCTCTGGGGTGTAGGGACCGGTGTTGTTGAGATGTCTATATGGCATCCCGTTCGGCTTCCGTTCGACCATTCAAAGAGGTCGGTTGACCTGGGTTTTTGTAGTGTACAAATCCAGCTTAGTAAAGCAGCTGGTGATTCGGGAGTCAGACCCTTAAAACAGCTGGTGGCTTGGATGTTTATTTATATGGCCATGGCTCCTTGGCACTCTTCACCCCTCTCCGAGAGCTCGAAGAGACGGCAATGAGAAGGACCTTCGCGCAAGGCAAGGTTTAATACAGCGTTGGTACAGAGCTAACTAGCTCAGCAGGTAAGTTGTCTTTGTTTCATTTTCTTTTCGTTTAAATCTATAGGCTTCCATGAAGTTTCCAGCGAGCCAGATGTGTTTCTAAAGTCATGATTCACCCGATGCTTTCATGTCCACATCGGATGCCTCCAGAACTGCATCCATCATGAGATCCAGTGGATGCCCCTCTGCGGAGTGGCGAAGTTTCACCCTTCGCTCACGGCGGCGCCGACCGTGAGCGGATGTGGTGCCTCAGGTGGCAACGTCTTGTTAGGTCCTGGCTCAGCGATCCGCCTTGGTGCCGGGCAGCCCGGGATCCGACGCGCCGCGTTCGTGGTGGGCGTTGGTCACCCAGACGATCCATGGGACAGGTATGGACTCGGTATGGACGGCCCATGAACTGGACCTACATGAAACACCATGTGCACAGGACACTAAACATAGATGCATGGAAGCAAGAAGGGCCTTTTTGACAATCCTTGCTGATTAGGGACAGGTGACTGATTGAACCCCTTGCTGATCTAAGTGCTGGATTAGTTCAAGCGATTGTCAGACGCTGTTGTCATGGATCGTCACAACCTAGGGCCTGCTAGTCGCCTGCGCACGGTGTAGTCGGTCCGTCGACGGCGCCGAGATCCCCGGAGTGTGATCCGAGGAGGTCTTCTTGTTGGTATGCATCCCTAGGGCTCCAGTCGTACCTCCTCAGAAGGTATGACTGGACCCTCTAAACATTCTAAACCCACCCCAAACACCTTCTCAGGTATTTGGAGATCTAGGGCCTAGGGCATAATATATTTTTTGGGGGTGGAAATAGTTCGCTTCGGAACGCGGGAACGGTATCGCTATAGGTTGGAGGCCATCGCTACGACTAGTCTGCACTGTCTGGTTGCTAACTGCAACCCACCCCACCCCCCACCCCACCCCCCCACCCAACCCGCTCATTAGTTTGCACGGCAGAAGTGTGCTTTGAAAGGCCATCAAAACGTGTGTGTGTGTGAAGATGTTGACCTTGTCCAATCTGGCAACCCTTTCAGCACTTCAGAGTCGCACTGTCTGGTTGCTAACTGCAACCCACCCCACCCCATCCTTCATCCTTAAACCCTCCCCATCTGTGTCTGTGTGTGTGTGTTCTAAAGTGAACCAAAAAATCAGGTGCGTTGTGTTCCAAAGTGATCTCGCTTTTTGCTAACCCTTCCATGTTTTTGTGTGTTTTGTGTTCCAAAGTGACCCATGTTTTGTGTTCCAAAGCGAACTAAAACCCTGTGTTCCAAAGTGAACTAAAACTTGTGTTCTGAAGTGACCCCGCTTCCCCTCCAAACCCCCAAGCACCGCCCGACCCAAACCGCCCGAGGACTTCGGTCTCGCCGCCTTGCGGCAGACCGGCGCCTCCGCGGCGCCTCTGGGCGCGGCGGGAGGGCTCCCCCCGACGGGCGCCTCCGCGGCGGCGCTGGGCGTCCGGGCGACTCAGTCGAGTCTCGGTGACGAGCCGAACGACCGGCGAAGACAGCTGGCCATGGAGCTGTCTTGGATATATATGTCGAGCCTTCCAGATGATTCAATATAAGATCATGTAATACATGTCTGTATATAAGCAAATATACTGGTGATATTAGGTGGTTGGTTGGTGAATGTAGGTCAGATATCTCCCATGGATTGTTGTTGGGGTATTCTAGATATTCTAGTCTCACGCAGCCAGAAGCTTTGATGGTTGGGACAGACTGAGCCCTGTCAGCGGCTGGGCGGCTACAGTTCACCTACCATCGGGGTCGATGTCGCAGCAGCTGCTAGCTGTAGTACGCCTTGGTGGTCAATGAACACCTTAGATAGTTGTGTTTTTTTGGTTGGGGTTCACATGTTCGAGAGGGAACATCAGCCTTGTTAGACTGTTAGACCTTCCTACTTGGGGGTTGCAGCAAAGCATGGGAACACCCTTCGCCCAGAGAGGTCTGAGGTTTTTCACCGCCCCACATATCGTCCATCCCAGTCTCTGTGTCCCGCAATCAGGCTTTCCCGTCCATCTCTCCATCTCTCCGCTCAATTTGTTTTTTTTGTAATAATTAATGTGACCGATCTAGGATAAAGAGAAACCTTATAAATGGGACCAAATAATAAGTAGATGGATCACTCTTTTGCTTCGCGGGTTCACGTTCAGTGTTGGGAACCGTCTATGCATGGGACGTTCGGTGAGGTAGTACCTGGGAGTGCATGGCTCTTCCCGGTCCCGATGGATGGAAAGAGTCACCTACCAATGGGCCATTTGTGTAGGTAGAGAGCGGTTTCAGAGTAGATGTCACAACCCCCCATACCTATAACCTCTTCTTGGGCAGAAATTTCTGCCTATTATGGGTAAAGGCGACTTTGCCCGTGCTTAGGCGTTTTTGCCCCCTGTAGGCGTTCTTGCCCCCTTTGGGCGTTCTTGTCCTTTTGGTGGCACTGCTCAAATAGATGAGGATCCACCCACCACTGATTCCAGGAACTTTCACAGTGAGGTACATTTGCTTGTCAGGAATTCACTTAATGTTTCTCTGGTGATCTCTGTTGTATGTTTTTAGTTTTTCTATGCTTTGATTCAGTGCTTTAATCACGAAAGGTAGCTTGAGCTACCTGAGTTCTCCTTGCTTTAGCAAAAATGTATTACAATTGAATTTGGTCCTGTAAGAGTTGATTCTGTTCGTCGGGGGGGGCCCCCCCCCTGGATCAAATCCCCCCTGCGCCGGTTCACGCCGTCATGGACTTTTACCAGGGTTGCTTGTGATTGCCTGCTACCTTTCGTTCACCCCCTCCTCTCTCAAGTATCTTGATGCGTAGGTGTTCTTCCCGTCACTTAGGCGTTCTTACCCGTTACTTGGGCGTTCTTGCCCGTTACTACTCCCGTTACTTAGGCGTTCTTGCTTGTTCCCCCCTCACTACAATCAGTAGTTGGGCGGACAACGGAATGGTAGCCTTTTGGGGGGAGTGAGCGACATGAGTTTCAATAACTTTAGACTGGGATTAGCGTCAAGTGGCAGGCGTTTGTTTTCTCAATTTTTTGTCATTCAAATTCTGGCTTTGCCTCCTGCATGTAAGAATGCATGTGATTGTGCCTCGTCGTTTTTGACCCTCGAGGCTGCAGCTTAGGCGTTCTTTGAAAAACGGGCTGAATTTTCTGCCTAAATGGCGTTGGGCGGACATTATTGCCTAACGATGTTCTAGGTATTTTGTTTTTTACATGTTCTGTTTGTTTTTTTCTTGGATGGAACATGATGGAACCATGTTTTAAGCACCTAACTTGGGGAAGACGTGGTTTCTACTCTTAATCCGCAAGCCAAATCTCCGGTACCATGAGCCATCCACTTCCAAGGAGTGCACCGGACCCGTTTGGGCTCCGAACAGCCCACGGAACTCGTTTCGGTTCGGGACAAGGGTGGTGGTGCCAGGGGTCGAATACCACCGGTCACCTCAAGAGATGGGCCAGGAGCCCTAATTAGGGGACTATCCCATAGGTACCCAGGGTCCATCAGGGTCCTATAAGGTCACTTATATACCTTGAGTCTCCAATGACCCCTTTAAAATCGCATAAATTCGCCTTTCCAAGAAAAACGGTTGCTGAAAGAAAACACGTTTTAAACCATATTTCACGCAATGTTCCTTTATTGGTTGTGCCCTGTCAGATCCTCCTTAGACAGTGTCCTGAGACTGTTTTTCGGCGTCCCAAAGGCGTCCAAAACGTGCCTTTTTGCGTCCAAAAGGCGTTTTTAAGCGTCCGCACCGGACGCGTCCGGATGAAGATTTACTTTTTTGAGTCCTTGTCTCAGTCTCTGAAAACGCTTGTTTTCGAGCAAAAAGAAAAAATCATTGGGCCGCTGAGGCGCTCGCCCAATCGGGGGCGCCTTGGATGTCGCCAGAGGTGCTGGAGGCGTCGACGTCGGAGGTGGAGGGGACGACGGAAGAAGACCGTCGATGCAACTGCCGACGTTTTGTTGGGGGGATTGGAGTTTTCCAATCCACACCAGGGAACATGAAGATGGTGGTTTCTTCAGAACAATTCGCATGGCCACACACAAATACGATCCCTCCAAGTCACTTGTCAATGGTGTCGAGAACGAAGCGATGTCAGCGGTCCATGGAACCGACGTGCTGAACCCGTACCCGGTCCGTTTCTGGCTGCTCGGGGGCTCGTGGGCGGAGGCCATCGCAGGTAGGTTGGAGGCCGCTCCCTTCATGGGATTTTAAATAATATGATGGTCACTTATATCTTTAAAATCCATGCATATTCTTTTCTTTTATATTATCTAATGTGGGATTTATTAGATTTATCGTTCACTTTTATAATAATAAATCCGGAGCGTGAAGGGACGCGATGCACGGAGCGTTAGCGGAAATCGGTGGATGCACTTGGCACCCTATGCCCTCCATGCCCTTCGGACTTCGGCGAGCTTCGGGTGCCGAGCCCGTGCGACCGGTCAGGCCGTCAGGGCCTTCAGGATTCTGGCAGATGGTCTTGGTCTTTGCAGGTAGAGAGGTAGAGAGGTTGAGAGACCTTGTGGAACTTTACAGCGGTCAATCGGTGATAGGGTCAGACTATCGTAGGGCTGTTGAACCTCTCTAGGTCATGCACAAGATGACGTCGAAATGAACAAACCCAAATAGCTCAACCGACCCCGTCGATTCCACCACCTCTAAGGGCTTTGTCCGTCCGTCCGTCCTCGTATCCCGCATGCGTCAGGGCAACAAACCCACAGCGCCCAGCGACATTTGGTCCTTGGGTTGTTTGATCGCCAGGGGTGCTCGGTCGGGCGCGAATCCGACAGTCAGCCTCGAATTGGGAGCTGGTAGACATCCCACCCTAAAGAATCCAGGCCTGCACCCTTACAGTGGATTGAGAGTAGATGGCACAATCACCAAATTCGGTGGCTTAGTAGTGGATCCCCATCTAAATTCAACGACATCTCGGGGTGCCAGTGCCATCGAACCTCTGAAACCACTGTTCAAAAACCATAGAAAAGGTTTGGGACCCGAAGCCACTCTGCGAACTGGAGGGTTCTCTTTCCGATGTTCACGTTCACATCGGGTCTGCTAGGGAGTCCATCCCTGGAAGGAGGCGTCGACCAGCTAGAGATCTCGGACAGGCCCCAAGTAGTGTAGGGTATAGCCCATTGGAGTGTCCCCATTGACACCCTAAGGCTTTCAAGACCATTCAAAGAGTTCGGTTGACCTGGTTTTGTAGTGTAAAACCTTTAGTAAAACAATGGTTGTTCGGCGTTCGGGATTCAGGCTATTAAAACAATGGTGGGCCACAACTTCTAGGGATATATAGTGCAAAGAGAACAGAGTTGGGACTCACTATTACTATAGTTGGCTTTGGCAGTCCCAGTGTCACCGGGGTGCTCAACAGCATCTCAGGAGGAACCCAGGGGGGGGGAACCAAGGGCCGACAGATAGACGGGAGAAGTCAAGTGGAGCTGCTGGCGGCCAGTGGTCCATGACATTCCCAACAGAAGTTGAAGAACCCTATAGGCTATCCTATGGGTCCCGAGGGTTACGGGTCCTATGTACGGTCACTTAAACCCTCTTGACTTGATCATTGAAGATGTTTTGGAAGATTCCTCACCTTGTTTCGACCAAATCACCGCCGAAGCTAAGAGGAACGGTATACTCTGACCGGCTACGGAAGGTGGAGCAGGTCCCAGGTCCCTGGGACCTTCCATTCTCGACCGAAAGAAGAGCACCGGTGAACTCCACGTCGAACTCCGTCGTGGGCACCTAGCATCGGACGTAGCATGTTCAAGAGGTCGTCCAGAGTGGCCACTGTGAGAAACACACCGAACCTGGCAAACCCCAAATGCTTGGTTCCAATGCTTGCTTACTTGCTTGCTTGAGATCCTTTGCACAAGTGATCAGGACTGGGGAAGCATAACATCAATAAGAATGAACTAAAAGTTGCTGGCTTTTCCCATTTGTGTGGGCAAACAAGTGTTTTTGCATGTTTTTGCATAACATTTCTGCTTGCTTCCTTGGCTTTCCCAGAAATTTATTGAATTGGCTGTTTTAGCTCTCAGTTTGAGGGCCTTTTTCCCACAAATTCGACTCCGTTCATATGTCCTTAGGTCGTTGCTTTCATCCCAGACCTGCTTGGGACAGGCATATTCTATCGATCCATTGGGGTGGTTGAACAGGGGTCAATGTAATCCGGGATAGTTGTCGTACGTAGAGCGGGCATGGAGCGGGCATGGAGCATCCTCTCCCCCAAAGGAATCTGGTGCGGTCTTGGCCAGCGCCAGCCTGAAGGGCAAAAACCACAACCTTTTTGCAGCACCCTCCAACAGGTCTTTGATGGCTGATGGCTTTAGACTAGACAAGCGGCAGGTGAGAGGTGGTGACCTGTAAAGTCGTGTGTTTTTCTCCATGTGCATCGTTTTTCGTTCGTCGTTTTGGGAGGCCGGCTTTGCCTGCGTACCTTCGTTTGTTGGTCCATCCGTCCTTCGTCTTGGCTCTGAGATGTCAAGATCTGAGTTCTGAGTTCCGGACCAGGTGCCCTTCTGACAGGGAAGCTACAACCAGAAGAGCACGGTTGCAAAGTCGATGTGTTCACTCCTGAGTTGACCGACTTGGAGACATTTGGAGAGGATCTGAAAGACCTGTGAACATCCCCGCCATGCCCCACATCATCTCACATCCCCCTTGATTCAAAGACCTGCAATATCCACGAGACCAGCCCGCTGGCGGCCTTCACGGATATCTCCCATGGATGGAGCGGATATTGGTCGAGTTGGCCGCAGAGGCGCAAGAGGAATTCCGCCCTTTGGACTGCAACAAATCGGGGAAATGGCGCGAGCACTAACCAAGCTCGGGCGTATCTTTTTGGATGGAACATACGATGGAATGTGGGGGGCTCTATAAACCACTCAAACTGGGCCGTGCTGAGGAGAGTTGCTCGTCACCAGATATCCGTAGTTCTCCAGCATTTCTGAAAAGTGGACAAGGCCCTCCCTGCGCAAAGCAAAGCAGTCACTACTACAAGTTATACCTACAATATTTCTTAAGTCTTCCTGTTGCGGACATGCCATCCACTTTTCATACACATGCATGCTACACATGCTATCACACATCCTTCCATTCCGGCTTTGGCCCACTAGTGGCCGACCATGTGGAGCCATTGGTGCAGACGAGTGGAATATATCGTGGAATGAAGAAGCCCACTAGTGGCCGACCAGTCAGAGTCCCGTCGGCAGCCCAGCCACTGGCAGCCACTATCCGAGGAACTGAACTGCTCAGACTCAGTCTACCAGGAGTCACAAGTACGGGGTGGTGTTTAGTCCCCTTACGTGAGTGGATGTGACAGGGGCACCCTAACCTCCATGGATCGCACGCCTTTGTGACTGCTGGTAGGGTCCAGGGCGGCAGGTCCCAAAAAGGTTCCAGGGATCCAACGAGAAAAAGGGTTCCAACGGATGGGAACCACTTAAGTTTGAATGATCATTCTTGATGCGTTGCCATGTAGAACATGGCCTTCCAGCTGGGTCCAGGCATGGCCATCCTGCCATCCTGCTTTGGTCCGTACGGACGGAGCTCTTGCTCTTGGGTATGGTGTTTGACCTGCGAGGTTGGGACGCTGAGGTTGGGAATCGAATCCTTAAGCGGTTTGACCAGAATATAGCGAGTGCGATCTGGACAGTTTTCAGGTGTTACTTTCCATTGATGTGCAAGTTGTTTCAACAGGTGGATCCTGAGTCAAAGCTGTGCAGAAGCATCGTTTCCACTGTACATCACGTGTTTTTTTCTCTTTTTTTTCTTTCGCTTCCAGCCTCGGAAGAAGTGCCCCAGTGGAGTTGGGTGGTTTTAAGTCACTTGTCCTAGGGCTCCAAGTGCCTTCTAAGAAGGTGTTTGAGGTGGGTCTGGAGGGTCCAAATACCTTCTGAGGAGGTACTTGGAGCCCTAGGGTTGGTGAATGCATGCGACAGCGGCGACATGAAAGCTGGCCCTTGATTTGGAGATGGGTCGTAACCCACCACTAGTCCGTGCCGCGGGCAGCCTGAGCAGCTGAGGATGGGTGAACTTGCCCCAGAACTATGGTGCTGAGGCGCTCCGTCCCAAGATGTGTTTCTTTTCTATCAGGCAACGCTGAACCCCTGGTTCAGGGCCTTTTGGGGGCCTCTCTATGGCAACGTACACACCCAAATGGTCCTTCTACGTACTTCATCACCCGATTCGCGATCCTGACACCGAACGGAGTGAACTGGTCCTTTAGGATCGGGCCTTTCTGTGACCAATGGACTCATGTGTGTGTGACGGTATGCGGTATGGGGGGATGCGTCCAACATCAAACGCTTCGTTCGTTACGTCTTCGAAGTCTTTGTAGCTCCTCTGATCACTGACTTACATGTTTTTTTGTACGTCGGGCTGCTGAAATCAGCTGGCATAGGGATGCTGAAATCAGCCAAAACGGAGCTGTCTTCAGGGCTGTGTAGCGGTGAACTGGCACCCTTTGTATCCGTTTCAGCCATGTGAACTGGGCCATGTTAAGGGCAAATGTGAACGAATATGATGTTGATACTATACGTACGCTTGGGGATTATTATATAATGTTGGATCCTCATCAGTGAAAGGGGCTCCGTCCCCCTTCTAAACAAGTTGGTGAGACTACCACCAAAACAAATCTGGATTACTGGGAGGAGTCCTTTTCCATTTGCTTGTTGCATTGATGTTTCTTTCATATATTGTATTACTGTAATTTTCCTTTCTCAGCTTCTTTCGGTTCTCAGCCTCAGATCTTCAGCTCAAGAAACGCCTTCAGCTTACTCATTTCCTGAACTTCATCCGCATTCTTGACAGCCTCAGATGACATTTGGGGCCCAAGGATCTGTTGGGGCCCCAAATCCAGGGTGTTACCTGGCCGCTTACACTCTGCAAGACGCACATGGAAGTGGAGAATGGCCCCTTGGAAGACCATTTTCCACTACAAATAGGTGGTTTTCCACTTCCATGTTAGTTTTCGGGAGTGTAATCAAATGATTGTTGGTTGGTGCAATTAATTCAGCTGTTGCTTTTCTCCGCGTCTTCAGGGGTCACAACTACAGAAGGGGTCCTCAGGAGGAGCTGAGCTTTGGTGCCGGCATAAGGTGATTCTAAGGAGGATCCCGAGGCAGGCGAACCGCACCTATTTGCACCACCTTTGCATCAAACTGATCCTTTTGTTTCACGTTTTTCCCGAAAGCATTGCGAAGGGTTCTTCCGGAAAATCCTTTGAACACTTACACTTCGACACTTACACTTACACACACACACACACACTGGACGAGCGAAAGCATCCAAGTGCGAAGTATGCCAGTGTCAAAGTATGCAAGTGTAAGTATGCAAGCATGATATGCAAGGGTGAGTATGCAAGCACGCAATGAGTATACAAGCATGCAATGAGTAGGCAAGTGTGAGTATGGAAAACTAGCAGGGAGATGTCCTAATGAAAAAACATTTCCCCACTTTATAAATTCTCTCTTAAGGCGGAGTGCGGGACGAACAGCGTCAACCGAAAGTGCAACCCTCTGCGGAGATCGTGCGTGTCGAGTGCGCGAAATGCAGGCGAGAGTGCGATTTGTCCGGTGCGCGCGCAACCCTCTGCGGAGATCGTGCGTGTCGAATGCGCGAAATGCAGGCGAGAGTGCGATTTGTCCGGTGTGCGCGCAACCCTCTGCGGAGATCGTGCGTGTCGAGTGCGCGAAATGCAGGCGAGAG